CTCCTGGCTCCTGGCTTCGGATCGGCAACTCCACCACTGCAGAGTGAATCAGCAGATGGAAGATCTTTCTCTCTGTCTCTCCTCCTCTCTGTAAATTGGACTTTCCAATAAATTTTTTAACAGGTTTATTTTTATTATTTTTTTATTGGAAAGGCAGATATACAGAGAGGAGAGACAGAGAGGAAGATCTTCCGTCTGATGATTCACTCCCCAAGTGAGCACAACGGGCAGATACTATGCCGATCCGAAGCCAGGAGCCTCTTCCGGGTCTCCCATGCGGGTGCAGGGTCCCAAAGCTTTGGGCCGTCCTCGACTGCTTTCCCGGGCCACAGGCAGGGAGCTGGAAGGGAAGCGGGGCTGCTGGGATTAGAACCGGCGCCCCTATGGGATCCCGGGCGTGCAAGGTGAGGACCTTAACCACTTGCGCCACCGCGCCGGGCCCTCCAATAAAATTTTTAAAAGAATAAGTTCTACATGCCATCTTCCTTGTCCTGGCCTGCTCTTAGAGCCGGTCATTCTTCCAACAAGTCCTGCTTTCAATTACTGGTGAATGTTGTTCCAACATAAAGATCTGTTTATTGCTACTGAAGTGTCACTAATCTGTGGCCATCTCAGCAGTCTGAGGTGGGAAAAACATCCACACGCATTAACCTATGTGCATATATAAATCTGTTCTTTTTCTGGCTCCTGACTCCAGCATTGTATTTATGCCCACTTCTTTCTGTCATCAGCCTTACAGTATCCAGTTAAAGCAACTTTACCCAAAGCTACATAATTAGCAGCTAGCCCAGCCCCTGCAGTATAGCCATACAGTTTAAATGCAATTAAATTATTTTGTTTTCTAATTGGTAAGAAAAATTACATATGTATTTACAATATACAAAATGTTGTTTGGAAATATGTACACGTTGGAGAATGACTAATTGAGCAAATTAACATGTAAATATGTTAATGAGCACATTTAACAACCTTACTTTTTTTTTTTTTTTTGGTCATAAAAGCACCTAAAAATGTACTAACTTAGGAACTTTCAAGGATACAATGGATTTTTGTTAACTATAGTCATTATGTTGTACAAAAGATCTCCAATCTAACTAAAATTCTATATCCTTTGACCGATATTTCACCCTGGTCATCACCGCTCCACTCCCGAGTTCCATACCACTCTTCGATGGGTTGAACTTTTTACATTCCACATGTAAGTGACATCACACATGCCTTAGATTGTTTCCTGTTGACAACAACAAAAAGATCATTCTGGGTAAAGTTTTTGAAAACATGTTTATGTGGCTCATGGTTCCAGAGGTATTAAGATAAGAGGCTGCATCTGGTGATGGTGTTGTTACTGGCAGAGTCCCAAAGTGATGCGCGGCATCACAGGGCAAGAGGCACTCATGGAGTTCTTCTGCTCTCTCTTTTTGAGATATCAGGATTCACCCACGGGGCTACCATGCCCACCACAGTAATCCTAACCACCTTCCAAAAGCTCCACAGTCAGATTAAGTTTCTCTTACCTCACATTGGAGATTAAACTTGAACATGAATTTTGGAGGGACAAACCATATACAAACCACAGCAGTAGAGCATCTATCTTTTGGTGCCTGGTTCATTTCACTTAACATTATGTTCCCTAATCACTGGAAACCACTGACATGTTTCCAGTTCTGTTCTAAAGTAAGTAATGACTCGGACCCAGTACAGTAGCCTAGCAGCTAAAGTCCTCTGCTTGCAAGCACCAGGATCCCATAAGGGTGCCGGTTCTAATCCCGGTGGCCCTACTTCCCATCCAGGTCCCTGCTTGTGGCCTGGGAAAGCAGTGGAAGACGGTCCAAAGCCTTGGGACCCTGCACTCACATGGGAGACTCAGAAGCTCCTGCCTCCTGGCTTTGGATTGGTGCTCTGGCCGTTGCAGTCACTTGGGGAGTAAAATAGCAGATGGAAGATCTTCCTCTCTGTCTCTCCTTCTCTCTGTATATCTGACTTTCCAATCAAAATAAAATGAAAATCTTTTTTAAAAAAATAAGTAATGACTCCGCAAAGATATCTACATCCAAATCCCGGAAACTTGTGACTGCTGTTTGATACAGGCATGACAAAGGGAATTTACAGGTAAGATTATATTAAGGATCTTGAGCTACTGTTTCAGTTTTCCTGGTGGGACCTAAAGTGAATAACAAGGGTCATTAAAAGGGAGCAGCAAGAAGTTCAAAGAGGTAGTAGGAGATGTAAGGATGATGCTCAATGGCTGCAGTGGCCAAAATACAAGCCATGCAGGTAGTCTCTGGACGCTGCATAAGGGAAAAACAAAAAACAAAAAACAAACAAACAAAAAAAAACAAATTCCCCCAGCCCTGCCACCAGTACCTTGACTTTGGCATGATAGAGCAGATTCTGGACTTTTAGCATCTAGATCACTGAGAGTAAATGTGTGTTGTAAGCCACTACATTTGTAGTAATTTGTTACAGCATTGATAGGAAACTAATGTGTTTTTGTATAGTTTTGTTATTTTTAAGATGGTATACACACGGAATCATAGAGCACATTTTTGGATCTTCAGGACACAGCTTCTATCACTTGGCAAAACATATTTAAGATTCATCTGGGTTTTATGCATAATTTGTCACTAAGAAAAAAATTCTGGGTTGGCACTGTAGGTACAACACATTAAGTGGCTCACAACCTCCACTGGAATGCTTGTTTGAGCCTGGACTGCTCCACTTCTGAAGCAGCTCCCTACTAATGCACCTGGGAAAGCAACAGATCACCCAAGTCCTGGGGCCCTTGCCACTCCCGTGGGAGACTCAGACGCAGTGCCAGTCTCCTGCCTTTGGTCTTGACCAGCTCCCACTGGTCCAGCCATTTGGAGAGTGAATCGGGATGGAAGATTCCCTCCCACTCCTTCCCTCCCCTGCTTCTTCCTCCTGCTTGCCCTCCTTTTCTAACTATCACTCTGCTTGTTAGGTAAATAAATAAACAAATCTTTAAGAAAAAAAATTCACCAACACTGTTGAATGAATTAGCAGACGTTTTCTTTTTATTGCTGACTAATATTCCATTGTACCTAGTAGCATGGTTGTCTTAACCACCCACCTGTTCCAAGACATCTTGGTTGTTTCCAGGTTTTGATGAATAAAGCTGTTAACAACATTTGCACTCAGGTTCTTGTGTGCATACATTTTCAATTCTTTTGGCTATTAAAGGAAGCTCATAGGTATTCATAGCAGTTAGGACTTGGAAACATCAATTTAAATACCATTACCAGGGAAACAGATTACTTAGTAATACAAACAGAAAGAATTACAGGCTTTTTAAGGCCAAGGTTATATTCACAGAACAAGCCACAAGCTCTGGGTTTCAGATACTAGAAATAACATTTTCAAGGACAATTTGAGAGACTAGAAAATCACCGCTTCTTTGTTCTGTTGCTAAGGTTTCTCATTCCCGCAGTCAGGAAGGTTTGTAGTTTTCCAGACCAAGCGCTAGAATTCCATTATTTAGAATGGAGAGAAGTAGAGACAGATTTAAGAAATGTAATTCTTACTATGAAAAGCAAAGGAGCAAAATGGTAATATAAACAACTATGAGGCATGTAAAGATATCAATTTACAGTATGAATAGAAATGGTAATGAATATTTGAGGTTTTGGTATATTATATTGACAATCCAAGCACTCTTAGGCTTTAGTACTGTTTGCTATGAAACCTGATCAAATATTTTCCTAAAGCCATTAAAACATAAATGGTTTTCAAAAGATGTGCAGTGATGGATTTATATATTTTTTTTGTCTAAAAATACAAAAGCAGCAATTTTTCTCACTAAGGGAAAATAATTCAGTGTTGGGTTCCTCAATATGAATCAGGTTCAAATCACATAATGTTCAAAAGCTTCTGAAGCCAACTGCAAAGACCATAAATACTGGTTGTAGTCTGAGATTTTCTCCTACTTACAAACCAGCCTCTTGTGGATCGGTAAACCCATTTCACGCATGCGCAACAAGCAGTAATTTACATCACTTCCCCAACTCCAGGTCCCACAGGGCCATGCAGACCGGCACCCAAGTATGTGCTATGCACTTGGTGTACATTAGTGTCACAGCCAAGCAATGCTGGCCTTGGACAATTCATGTCTCACAGAGACAGCTCGCTCTTTGTCCCAAAAGGAGACAGCCCTGTATCCCTCGGGGCGGTGGCCTGCAACTGAGTCCTGAGTAAGTGCGCAAGGAGCAAAGACAAAGGGCTGCACATTCTCGGCATACCCAAGAAGCAGCAGCCAGGACGCTCAGGCTCCTGCCAGACAGAAAATAGGCCACTTCCTCTTCCACGCAAAGTGGATGACAAGCTGCACTGCCCAAAACTTTGCCCCTAGGAGCACTTTCCTTCAGCACCATCTTTCGGGACAAGAATCCACTTTTAAAATGTGCCAGGAAACTGTGTATAAACCAGGTCTGTGCCTTTTCTCTGTTAAGCAGCGATGGGGAACTCTGCAGGCAGCCAGAAGTGTAGGTTTAAGAAGAAGGGTGCTCTGTGGAAATCAACTGGAAGCACTTCACACAGTTTACTTGTACCTTCCCAACAGCTTGAACCTGACCTTCCCTATAACATATCATGTCTATTGCAGCAGTGTTGTGTACATTCACATTCGCTCCTGATGGGCCTTTCCAGCGGCAAATCGCAGTCTCCTTCCACCTTCCAGATCTCCTGCCCTTGCTTCCCTTCAAGTGAACCCACCTATAAGCTGGAGAGCAAGAAACCCAGCTGCCATGAGTCCTGCCTGCGGTGTAGAGCAGGTAGGGAAGGGTGGAGGGAGTCGCAAGGGCAAATGGAAGACAGCAGCACAGCCCATAAATGGTATTGATGTCATTGGTGTGATTTTCTGAAACATCAAGCCAATCTTGGTAAAGTTCCAAACAAAACAGCACGCACTCCTTTCAATTTATACAGTAGTTCCATTCCTGGAAAATTCCATGTATATTAAAACTGCGCAAAAATACTCTGAGTTATGCTTGCTTCAGCAGTAATATGCTAAAACTGGAATTAGACAAAGAGGATAAGCATGGCCCCCACATTAGAATGACATGCAAATCTGTGACAGCATCACATGCTCAACAGCAGGGAAAAAAAGGCCTTTACATATAAAATGAGGTTAGATTTAGACTCAGATAGTTACAGATAGGGTTTTTTTTTTGAATACATGAATGTCTTGGCGAGTATCTGAAAACTGGGCAAGATGCAGGAAAGCTCTTCCCTACAGAATGGTCACATGCATTGAAAGACATGTGACGTTCTTGGCTCCTGCCCACTAAATGCCAGGAGATCTCTTTCAATCACTGTAACAACGAAAATAACCCCACATGTTTTCAAAGCATGTCTCTCAGTGGGGCAGCCTCTGAGGTAAAATGCTGGCCTGGAAAGAATTCGACCACCACACCCCATCTGTTTAATGTCTTGTGCAACACGGTGCGGGAGGAACTTAGAGAACTCTGTGCAGGCCATTCTACAGAAGTTTCTGACCCAGGTATCAAACACTTGCAGCATCAAGAGACTGCGTCTCTCCTGCCTCCTGCCAGGGAGAGCCCGCTTGCTTTGCGCTCCCAGCTGCAGCCACAGCTCTGGCTACTACAGACATTTGGGGAATGAGCCAGCAGATGGGATCGCTCACTCTCTTTCCTTCTCAAATAAATCGATAAATTATATAGATAGATAGATAGATATAGATATATTTAAAATCTTGCTGCCATTCTAATAACATTTACTTGAGAGTTGGAATTTTCTGATTCGGTTTAACATAACAACAACAAAAAAAACCTGAGTAAATGCAAAGCTCAAATTTCACATTAAGCCAGATAAGAGTTTATAAATAACCACCTATCATGTCACTAGATATTAAACTATGACATTTCCTATTTTTAACTTGTACATCTGAACTAACTCATACACCCTGCATCAAATCAGAAATGCAGACACAAAAACAAAATCAAAAACACATCATATGGTAGACATAACTGCTCCCTGAAGTTGTCCACAACATGTAGATTAGTCTTTGGAAACTATTGCACAAAAAGAGTCTCCAGATGTAAGGAAATATCTGGAAATCTTTTTGTTTGTTTGTTTGTTTATTTGTTTGTTTGATCGAAAGGCAGAGAGACAGATGGACAGAGAGAGGCAGACACAGAGAGACATTCCATCTGCTGTTTGACTTCCAAAGATCCACAGCAGCCAGTACTGGGCCAGACTGAAGCCAGCGGCCAGGAGCACCAGCAACGACTTCCACTTGGGTGACAGGGCCCAATTTCTGGAGTCCCCACCTGCTGCCTCCCATGCTGTGCCTTAGTAGAAAGCTGGAATCAGAAGCAGAATCAGAACTCAAAGCCAGACACTGATGCAGAATATAGATGTGCCAGCCAATATCTTAATCGTTACACCAAATGCCCACCCTTAGATGTGGACTTTTCATAAAAATATATCACAGTGTATATATGATTTTGTAGCTTTGTTAACAAACTCCATCTGTCCACTGCATCAACTATATAGACTTTTTACTATTTACTATTATTATTTTTTACTATTTACTATTATTGGAAAGGTATATCAGATTTACAGACAGAAGAGACAGAAAGATCTTCCATCCCATGGTTCAATTCCCAAACGGCTTCAACGGCTAGAGCCGAGCTGATCCAAAACCAGGAGCCAGTAGCTTCTTCCGGGTCTCCTAGGTGGATGCAGGGTTCCAAGGCTTTGGGCCGTCCTCAACTGCTTTCCCAGGCCACGAACAAGGAGCTGGATGGGAAGTGAAGCAGCCGGGACAAAACCAGTGCCCATATGGGATCCTGACACTTGCAAGGTGAGGATTTTGCTGCTGAGGCATTGCACCAAGCCAAAACTATCTAGATGATTAAACATTGCCTAGATGATACAAATGATTATAACAACTGTTTGGTCCAAATCAGGACAAATTCAAGGACCACAAATAGCATCTTATTATTTAGGTCCTTTTTGGTATGTGCTCTTCTGTTCCTTTTGAGCTTCTTTAGTTGCTACCTCGTGGGTAGAAATGCATTCTTTGGGCCCGGCATGGTAACTTAGCAGCTCAAGTCCTTGCCTTGCATGCACCAGGATCCCATATGGCCACTAGTTCTGATCCTGGCAGCCCTGCTTCCCATCCAACTCTCTGCTTGTGGCCCCGGAAAGCAGTGGAGAATGACTCAAAGCCTTGGAATCCTGCACTCACATGGGAGACACAGAAGAGGCTCCCGGCTCCTGGCTTCGAATTGGCGCAGTACCTGCCATTGTGCTCATTTGGGGAGTGAATCATCGAATGGAAGATCTTCCTCTCTGTCTCTCCTCCTCACTGTATATCTAACTTTCCAATAATAAATAAATAAATAAATAAATAAACAAATAAAATATTTTTTTAAAAATAAAGAAATGCATTTTTTTCTATCCCTGTACTTTCTGTAACCTTTTAAAAAATATTTCTTTTTGGGCCAAACAAGATAACTCAGTTGGCTTGTTCTCCCCTTGCAAGCACCAGAATCTCATATAGGAACTCGTTCATGTCCCAGATGTTCTACTTTCCATTTAGCTCCCTGCCTATGGCCTGGGAAAGCAGTCAAGAACAATGCAAAACCTTGGAACCCTGCATCCATGTGTGAGAGATCCAGAAGAAGCTCCTGGCTTCGGATCAGTTCAGCTTTGGCCATTGTGGTCAACTGGTAAGTGAAACAGCAGAGGGAAGACTTTTTGTCTCTCCTCTCTGTAAATCTCCCTTCCCAATTAAAACAAACAAATCAAAAAATTTATTTATTTTTATTGGGAAGGTAGATTGTACCAAAAAGACAAAATAAAGTGCTTAATGTTTTATTATCAACTACCACTTTAAATAGCCGGTGGTTGAGTAAACAGTTTCCCCAACTGGGGAAAATGTTTTTTTCCCCTCTCTGGGCCCCAACAACTGTGCACTGAGGCAGATATACAGAGAGAAGAGACAGAGAGGAAGATCTTCCGTCCGATGATTCACTCCCCAAGTGAGCACAACGGTCGATGCTATGCCGATCCGAAACCAGGATCCAGGAACTTCTTCCGGGTCTCCCATGCGGGTGCAGGGTCCCAAAGCCTTGGGCTGTCCTCGACTGCTTTCCCAGACCACAAGCAGGGAGCTGGATGGGAAGCGGGGCTGCCAGGATTAGAACCGGCGCCCATATGGGATCCCAGGGCGTGCAAGGCGAGGACCTTAACCACTGCGCCACCGCGCCGGGCCCAACTGTGCACTGTTTATTGAGAACACCCATAGAAGGTGGGAGAGAGGGGGGATGCCCTGTACCGCATCATGGCCACCGGTGACCAGGAGCCGGACCCAGAGAGCCTACAGCGCTGGCAGAGCTGGAGGGTGGGCTTCTGGGGACCCGCTGACCATCTCAGAAAGGGACCGGCCTAGGAGCCTTGGGCTATGCTGCAAATGTGGACTGACTGGCTTTTGCCTTTTAAAACAGAAGGTGAGGGGAGGGGGGCCACTCAGGAGAAAAATAAAAACTCTAATAAGATTTTTAAAAAATCGTCTTGCTGTCACAAGATAACACCTGCTCTCAGGGACCTGAGACTGGCAGCAGGGGTCGCAGGCAGGGGTCGCAGGCAGGCCAAGGCCCAGCTAAATTAAAAGTCATGATTAAATACACATAAAAACAGCATGCATACTTTACATCAAAATCCACAACAGTTAGCAGATTACAAGACAGTCTTCACAGACTGCTGCTTCACAGACTTTAAATGTTTGCAACCTGGAATCTGCTTTAAAAGGGAATTTAAGAAAACTAAAGAAATTTAAGAAAATTAAATATATATACGTCAAATAATATTGACAATGTGGAGCCTGTAACCTACTTTAGTTTCCAAGTGTTTTAAAAAGGCAGTGCCATTCATCCCCAGAACATTAGGGTAACTCTTCTCCTGGGAGGAGGAAAAGGGGTATGACAAGGGTGTGGACGGCAGCCGGCTGACAAACATCTTCACACTTTATCCCGAGCGTCATTACAAAGTCCCTCATTTTCACAGATTCTATGTTTCGAGTCTCTGACGCCATCGCCTTTACAAACATCTAAAAGTGTGACAGTGATTCACGCAACGTGCCCCTGTTGATTCATGAGGACGTCACTGTTTTCTAGAACCATCTGCCTTACCGTGTACTTCCCTTGCCCCAGACCTGGAATAAGTCATGTCTCCGAGAGCCGCAGCCCGCCTGTGATAGGCAATGGTTTTCAGAGACCACAGCCTGAGCGCTAGGGGTTTTTCCTACTAGGCAGTGACATTGCTGTTAGGCCACCTCAGTGACCAGAGCTAGGAGAACGAGGCAGGCTGACCCTAGGTCAGCTCATGCTCATACATGCTTCTCTCCTCTGGCAAGTGCCAGGAACTGTGGACTGCACTGAAACAACAACACAGGGACTTGAAAAAGTTTATGGAAAATGGAATTAAAAGGGAAGTTTCTGTTGTTACAAAGAATTTAAAATTGATGTATAGCTTTTCCATAGTACACATCTTTTAAGAACTTTGAAAAACATTTATTTTTATTTTTGTTGGAAAGGCAGATTTACAGAGGACACAGAGGTCTTCCATCACATGATTCACGGGCCCGGCGGCGTGGGCTAGCAGCTAAAGCCATCAGATGATTCACTCCCCATGTGGCCACAACAGCTGCAGTTGAGCTGATCCAAAGCCAGGAGCCAGGGGCCTCTTCCAGGTCTCTCGTTTTGGTGCAGGTGCCCAAGGCTTTGGGCCATCTTTTGCTGCTTCCCCAGGCCATAAGCAAGGAGCTGGATGGGGAAGTGGAGCAGCTGGGACTTAAATCAGAGTCCATATGGGATGCCAGCATCTGCTGGTGGAGGATGAGCCTGTTGAGCCATAGTGCTTGCTTCATTTTTTGAACTTTTTGAAGGCCCATTGTAGAACGGATTAAAAAAATTAGGGAGGGCCCGGCGCGGTGGCGCAGTGGTTAAGGTCCTCGCCTTGAACACGCCCGGGATCCCATATGGGCGCCGGTTCTAATCCCGGCAGCCCCACTTCCCTTCCAGCTCCCTGCCTGTGGCCTGGGAAGGCAGTCGAGGACAGCCC